CCCAAAACCCCAAAACCCCAAAACCCCAAAACCCCAAAACCCCAAGACTATATTTTAGATAATAATATAATATGGGCTGCACTTGAACAAATAGAAACGATTATGAGCTAGATCCTGAAAGTTGCAATATCAGGAACCGAATCAGAGGTGATACGAGCGACTGTTACTCTCACAAGGATGACAACCACAGAAAGTACCAAATTGATCCCATTACGAGAAGTAATATGAATGATGAATGGGGCTTTGAAATTCCTCAAAGAAGAGGTAAGGGTACTCTAACTGAAATTTAGTTACAAAAACCTAAAACTAGAGGATGTTTTGGAACTACTGAAACAATGCAAGCAGAGGAAGATTTATCCAAGAGACCTAAAGAAAAGAGAAACATTAAAGGAAGAGTGCTCAGAGTTCAGAATTTTATCTACACGGTTCGTGAGAAATATCTAGCACTGAAGTACTATAAGAAATGGAGAGCTTTCGTTGTGAAAAAGCAAAGGATCAGGGAAAATAAGTTCTATATTCAAGAATAATTCATCTAACCAAATATTCATTTTACTCGATGTTTAGCTCATCCAGAAATTTTGCGTTCAGTTTCATTTCTGTTTCAGTCATTTGGTTGGTATCATACTTCTTCTCTTGAATTTGTTGGTCAAGATCCTTCAAGTTACTCATTCAAAGCTGCTTATGCCTCTTTACTTTTTCTTTCTCTTCCTTTTGCTCAACAGCATCTTTGGTTAATATTTCCTTCATGAATGCATTGTTCTTTTCTCTCTCAAGGATCTGTATCTGCTCCTTCTCTCTTATCTGCTTGGCTAAGTAGTCACGGAAGTTTTTCTGATTATTCTTAAGCTTAATTCGATTATTCTTCTCTTTAACTTTTTCATGTTGTTCCTTCTTAAGAATAGACTTGAGTAGCTTCATTTCTTCTTCCTTTTCTTTGAGATTTTGCTTGTCCACAACTGATTCTTTCATTTTATTCAGCCTCTTTTGCATGAGTTCGTGTTTATTTTCTATTTCCTCCTTGCGTTTCTTCTCCTGATCCTCTATTTTGTATAGTGAAAATGTCTTACCAAGGTATTTAGCATATTTCTCAATAGCTTCGTTGTCAGCAATTTTCTCTTTATTTTGCCTCTCTAACTTCTCAAGCTCAGATTTTTGGATGGATCTATGAGTTGTGAAGAAGGAGCTTACTCTATAACTCGCTTGCAGTCGTCCATTTCTTTATTTTCTCCTTTGGATTTTCTGCTGTTTCTCATCTTCTATTTCTTGATGTAATTTCTTAAGCATCATCTCTTCGAACTTTTTCTTTTCTTTAATCTCCATCTCTTTGGCTTTAAGCTTGAGTGTGATTTGAAGATCTCTATTGGCTTTCTCTGTTCTGACTTTCTGTCTAGCTTCAAGAAGGATTCTTTCCTTTTCACGCTCATCTTGCTCAGCTTTAAGACGGATCTCATTCTGAAGAAGAAGTCTTTCCTTCTCTGCTTTCTTCTTATTCTTCCTTTGCTCCTGCATTTGGGCATTTAGCATTGCTTTCATGTTGGAGATTTTATCTATTTTATAGGTTAAGGTCAGAATTTTGATTACTTCGTTTTTCCTCATTTTCTTTCTTGATCTGCACTTTTTCCTTAAGGATGTTGTATTCAACTATTCTATCCCAGCTTTCTATATGAATCAGAATAGAAATTTTACCTTTTGCATTGTAGAAGGTATGACGAGCATTCAGTTTAGTCAGTCTGTGGATTAGAGTAAAGATACCTTGAGTTGTCCCTCCCACAGTCATAGCTATTATTCATGGAACAGACCGCCTTGAGCTTGGTATCTTTACAGTCGTAATCATCTATTAAGCCTAATCCTTTTCCTAAGAGAGTTAAGGTATTATTTTACTGTGGATAACTGTACTCCTGTCTTCAAGAGTGTTATTAATCTTAAACAAGCCATTTTTATTGTTCCTTGTCCTTTTGCCCATATGAGATTTAGCAATATGAGATTTTGACCTGCAAATATCAGGAATCTTAGTAGTATTGAGAGATGCATACGCATTTTTATATTCTCTAGAAGCTCCTTCTTGTAGAATGGAGGAAATTTTATGGGCTTCTAACGAATCATTTATATTGAGTCTCTGCACTTTTTCTAATTTTGAATCATTTTTCTTAAAATCTTCACAACTCTAGATATATTAAATCCTGATAATTACTTGATTTCCTTTGTGGTATTTAAGCAAAGCGTTCTTTTTAATCACTGTGATCTGTGAATACCCAAGGACTTTATCATTGCTGAAATATGAGTCTATCTCTTTCTCAATAATATCTCTCATTTTTATGTATTCTTTAGGCCCTAGGGGTTTCCTAAAGAAGGAATTAATACAAATAGTTAGATAAAGCTCGAAATTGCTTAATATTAACAACAAAGTTCATTATGGCATACTTGAATCAGCTAAGGTTATTTTTCTTATTTTGGAATTTCTTAAGAGTTTCTAAATTTCTTCCTCCTCCACTTTGTTCAGATGCAATAGATTTCAAAAGTTTCTCTGTCAGGAGGTTCTTGATCCTGATTTGTCTCTCTTTGATGGCCTTTTCATCCTTAAAGTGATAACGCCCTGCTGACTTAGAGCAATTTTGTCTGAGTTTGAGCATGTTCATGGCTGAATAATAAAATTTAAATCAGCTTCGCCTTCTCTGGGGTTTTGGGGTTTTGGGGTTTTGGGGTTTTGGGG